CGGGCAAACATTAGTGATGAGGACAGAACAAGAGCGAATACAACAACGTTCTACACAGTACATAAAACGAGAGATAAAACAACAAACATAAAAAGATAAAATGTGAATTAACCCTGGCGAGGTTGAGTCGAAGCAGTGCCCCCAATGCTACCATCTGGAACGTGTTCTTCCTCTTCAGAGCACAATTGGCGAAGATCAGCAAGGCCGAGCTCACCCAAGTGGAGGTAGGATGCGAAATCCGCCTTGACAAAAGCCTTAATTGCAGCATGCATTGCATTAATAGATTGTGCCTCAGCGTCCGGATCAGACGAGCCAGGGCTATTACCAACCGACTGCATGCGTGCCACCTGTTTTCCCTTCTTTACACCAACAACCACATACGCCTCCTTCATGCGACGAATCCCAAGCGCGAATTCACTGCTCTCAACAACATGATCCACCACCCGAACCACTCCCTTCTGGAGAACCCACGCTAAATCAGCCTCCAAGCTTTTCCTCCTCGAGACCTCAGAGGTGAACTGATCGTCTCGCAGTGCCAAACGCTCCACCAATGCTTCTTTCTCCGATACCAAATTTTGGACCTGCTGTAATAAGAGATCCACCTCCCCATCTAGGGTCGCACCTGAGCTTCCGTAGCAGTCTTTTCCCCTGACAGCATGAGGTAGCGCTCATCAAATTTGCGTTGCTCCTCTTCAAGAATCCAAACCTTCTCCGCAAGCTCGTCACGCTCGGATTTAACAGCAGCCAACTTCGCTAAATCAGCCCCCATGTAACAAAGACGACCAGCAGCTGCCACCAACTCGGGAGCAACCTGAGCAGCGACATATTGAAGATCATTCGCCATGTGAGAATAAGAAAGAGCGTCAAGAGCCTCCAGGGTAGCTGGGGGAAACACATGTTGGCACCATTCACGGGCAGGTCCCTGTTCCGACAAAAGCGAACCGGGCGCGAGACTCCACCCAGGGAGATACACGCCAGTCACACCCAAAGACGAACGACCCATCGCCGACGAGGCATCACCAGGAACAGTGGACAGGTAGTCGCCTGGCTCCCCCGGCCGACACAAATCCACTGTTTCTACCGCTTACGGGTCGTCAGTATCAAGAATCTCGATAACAACAGGGGACTTAGAAAACAGAGGATCAGTTTTATTTCATGTCAACCCTTTTATTTAAACATGTTAAAATATCTTACCCAAACCCGTTTATTTTATGTCGAGTTCTTGTCGGGTTTCGTATTGTGTCAATTTTTGCCAACTCTACTTAAAGTACATGTATTAACCGTGGTTTTATATGCGAAAATAATACATAACACAAATTATTGAGAAATGATTCGTATAAAACAAGTTTTTTTCTATACACGACAATTTATTATTTATAGAGTTGTACAGTACAACATTTTAAAACAAAAATTATTATGTATAGAGAAAAATTATTGAGTACAAATTAACTCATATTTAAAAATATCTGTAAATAATGTAAAAATATGTATTATATGTATTTATGCACAAATTGGTGTATATTATATACATTTATGTAAAAAAAAAACAAATTTTATGTATTTTGTACGTTAATCACACACTTATGTCAGCATACATATTATTCACATATATGGCCAGAATCCAACAAAGTATGTGTTTTAATAATTGTTTGACCAAAAAATTAAGCAAACACGTATATAATTAATCAAGAGCTGGAATATGAACCTATTAAACAACATCCAATCCATAACAATGCCATAAAAAATAAGATATAATAACAAAAGATAACTAATGTTTTCAAAAGCAAGTTAGCAAAGACTATTGTGTAGCAAAATGTTCTAAGCTTCTTTTAGACTAGAGGGTGTGGGCTCGGTTTCAACCGCGGTTCCGCCACATCATCACCCAAAACACCATCCTCTCACTGCGGTTTCTACTGCACATTCTCTCTCTTCACCCAAATACTACCGCACTCCCATTCTCTCTCTCCTCTTTTATTTGTTTTCTCTCTCCTCTCTCGACCAATCATTTTCTTTCTTTTCTTTTTTCTTTTTCTCTTTCCTAACCATTCTCCCACTCCCTTGTTGTGGTATCAAATTGATGAAATAGGAAAAATATGAGGTGGCATCTATGCGACATAAGAGGGAGTGCGGTTTCAGTGGCACCACTCCCTCCAGCCTTATGTGCCGAAATAGAGTTGTTAGTACTTGATCGGTCATCAAAGATGTCTTCAGCACTCAGCAGCTCAAATGCCTACCAACAACCAAACAACAAAATTCACATTAAAACACACAATATTGTGTTAATCAAGTAAAAAAGAACACGAAATTATTACCTCATCTTTTCCAAAAGGCAATGTTATCTCCTCAAAGCTGGCTCAAATCCTTCACATCATAGTTATTAATGAGAGTAATGCTTGTAATGGTGGACATTGGCTTGACTACAAGGTCATCCATCACCATACAAGTAACAGTCTCCTTCACCACAACTTCTTCATTATTAGGCCACCTAACGAACGTCATTGGGACATTCATCAAACGACCACAATGCGGACACCTAGCATCGTGATGATCACTCACATGCCTAAGTCCACAAAACCCGTACCCATCAAATTAAGGGTATAGAACCTGGAGATTAATTATATATTACCGGGGTCCATCTTATATAAAAATATTACCTGGAGATTAATTATAAGATGGACCCCGGTAATATTTTTATATAAGATGGACCCCGGTAATTAAGGGTAATATTTTTTGGGAGCTTTTTCTGTTAAGATTATTACAAAAATAGTTTTTTTCAGCACAAGTAGGTGCCAAAAGGTATAATTTCAACAAAATATTAATTTTTGAAGGGCTGGTTTAGTAAAATGGAGGCTATAATAAACTTTTAAGTGGGAGCCATGGATCCCCTTCTTACACTGTGGATCCGCCACACATGAAGAGTGTTTTTGTTTTTGATGCAGAGGGCTTATCATGGTCTGTGGAAGCATCATTTGAGTACAGAAAAAAAATGTTATCCTTGATTTTTTTTTTGATTAATTAAAGATGTAACCTTTGGTTATACCTGGTTGAAGGTGGGTTTGATTAAGGGTTTCGATGCTTTCTTTAAGTTTACCTAAGCAACCCACCATTTGTTTGGAGCTCGGGAACTTGATGAGTGTGCCAAGAGGTAAAGCGAAGATGTGGAAAAGAAGATCCATGAACTCCTTGCTGGCTTCTGCATATAAGACCTTCTGGACTCTCTTGTCAATCAAAAACTTAAGAATCATGTTTGAAGAAGCCATTTGTGAAGTTTATCAAATCTTGATATGAGATTTTAGAACACGGGAGCTTGGAGATAAAGATTTTGACAGAGGTTTTAAATGTTTGTATTTAAAAATGAGTAATTTGTAACTATTTAAAAGAAGAACAAATTACTGAAATCGTCCCTGTGGTTTTTGCTTAAAATTACGCGTTTGGTCCCTAACATTTTTTTTTGCACTCGGATCGTTCTTGCTATTTGTTTTTGTTTCATTTTCGTCCCTGCCATACTTGAAAAGACTATAATACCCTTATTTATTTATTTTTTCAATTTATTTATTATTGTTCTATTAAAAATTATTTAATAAAACATATGGGTCCCACCATCTCATACCCTTCTCTCTCCCATCGACACAACCACCTGTTAAAGATCAAGCACCACTTCGTCACAACCAACCACCATTACCATCGTCCACCACCGTCGACAACCGCCACTGCCATCGTCCCTCCCCACGTCCATGTCATGCTATTTAGAAACTAAACACATGAATGAAAACCAAAAATCATGCTCATAAAACCAAACCCAGAAATCATGCAATCGATGCTTAAACAAACCCAGAAAACATGCCCAGAACAAACCAAGAAATTGAATCCAGAAATGGTGGATGAAATAAAAATCCTGGAAATCATAGATGAATCAAAAAACGGAAATTATGGATGAAATCAAAACCCTAGAAATCATGGATAAAATCAAAATTAAACTATTTAAGAACCAAACTTGAACCTAATTAATCCAAAAATTGAATCCAGAAATGGTGTTGTACTCATTACAGAAATCGAATCCATAAACATCATGATGAAATTTAGATTGATTGCTTTGAATCCTAAAACCTTACCCCGGTTAACTTGAATCCCCAAACCAAAATCCAAAAATTGAAGTCCCTAATTGAATATGATTACCAAAATCAAAATTAAACCCCAGATGGAGGCAATGGTGGCTTGCTCGTTAAAGAATTTGTCGACAAATATGGCGGCGATGGTTGATGTAGGGTTCGAGCGAAAACATAGCAAGTAAGAGAGGACATGTATCTGTCCGGAGGAGGAATGTTGGTCATGTGTTCTTGTTCTCGAGCTTCTTCTGTTGATGATTTCCCCCGTAGGAGGTGATTGGCGCAGAAGAGAGAGGGCGAGAGAAAGAAGAAGGAGATGAAGGTGACGGTTTGGTCGATTAGGTGTTTTATTAGGATGTAGGTGTGTGGTTGTACATTAGGTTTAAAGAGTTTGTACTTTTGTTTATATTAAAACAATAAAAGAACTAAATAAATACTAATAATATTTTTTTTTATAAATAAGGGTATTATAGTCTTTTCAAGTTTGGCAATGTCGAAAAATGAAACAAAAACAAACAGCAAGGACGATCCAAGTACAAAAAAAATGTTAGAGGCCAAACGCTTAATTTTAAGCAAACCACGGGGACGATTTCAGTAATTTGTTCTTAAAAGAAACAAAGAGTTTGAAAAAACTTCATTATCTTCAAGGCGCTGCTTGGTAATAATTTTGGCATGCGAATAATCTCGGTAACATACATACTCATTCCCTACTATATTAATTCCGTTTTGTATACTATAGTAGTCATCATTTCCAAGCCTTTAAAAACACCATGCAAACCTAAAAGTGATTGGAAGCTAGCGTGCCTTGTTTAAATGAAAAACCTCAAGAAATATACTTCTACAGTCATAGGGAAAGAAAACTACAAGAGTAAGTGGAGGCATAGCTCATCTCCGAGCCTTTAAAAACACCATGCAAACCATAATCGACATCTCCCACTCCTAGTATACCATTTTTGGGGAAGCTCTAGCCGAGCTCCACCAAAAATACCATGCGCTGGTATGCCATTTTTGCCATGAAGAGAGAGATAGAAAGAGGGAAGAGAAAGAAGAGAAAGATACAGAGACGGAGGAAGAACTCAGCAATGGGGAGTCGAGTTCACCAAACCATGATTCCATATACTCCATCAATGGCTTCTCCAAACATGACATTGAAGCTTCTGATAGACAAGAAAACCCAGAAAGTTTTGTTTGCCGAAGCCACCAAAGAGTTTGTGGATTTTCTTTTCCACATATTCTCTTTACCTCTTGGCAGCCTCATCCAGTTCCTGGGCTCCAAACAAATGGTGGGTTGATTAGGTGAACTCAAAGAAAGCGTCGAGAACTTTAATCAAACGTATCTTCAACCAGGCATCGACAAAGATGTTATCTTTAATCCTGAAATTGCATTGAATGGAAACATGTTTCTATTGTTGAATGATGCTTTTGCGGATGATAAACCTGCTACATCAAAAACACTTTACAGATGTAGTTTTACTCCTCGTTCAGGGTATTATGCTTTTGATGGTTACAGTACTTGCCGTTTTAAACACGTGACTGAGCATCCGGATGTTAAGTGTCCAAGTTGTCGTCATTTGATGAATGTCCCTTTGAAGTCCGTTAGCCCGACTGATAAGGATAATGCCGTGGTGAAGGAAGCCGTAGGGGAAAAGAGGAAACTGATCACAGGAGGGTATGTAAAAAATGTGGTGACTTATATGGTTATGGATAACTTGGTGGTGAAGCCCATATCCACCATTTCAAGCATTACTCTCATCAATAAATTTGGTGTGAACGATTTGAGTCGGCTTGAGGAGAAAACATTGCCTTTCGGAAAAGATGAGGTGATATTAATTTTCAAATACTTTTCCAATATTATTCATATTTTAATGTGATTTTTTTTTGTTTAAGCTTTGATAGACATTGAAGTTGTTGAAGGCATCTTTGATGACCGATCAAGTGCTCACAACTCTACTTCGGCAGGATGATTAGATCATTTTGCTATAAGCGCCGTGCTATCTTTTTGGCGTCACTGACTTCTGTTATCATATGGATGTTAATTGGTTGGCGTGAGTTTGGTTGGGAATTTGATCCATTTTAATTTATGATGTTCGTATTTAAGCTTTTAAATTTTTATATATATCATGCATGTTTGATTATAATTTCGTTAATTAATTACCTAGTCATGCTATTTTTTTTTGTTTTATACGTTATTCATATGCACTTTAATTAACAAATAACTTGTTTTATGTGTTTATATCTTAATGACAAATGAAGACATGTAGTTTATTGTACTATGCTTTGTGACTTTTGTCTAACAAAACCTGACACGATACGACACCTGGCACGAAATTAGTGGGTTTGAGTAAATATTTTGATACGTTTAAATAGATGGATTGACATGATGCGACACGAAAATTAAACGAGTTGCATTAGAGTCAAGACTTTTAACTTGAAGATGACTCGAATATCATCCGTTTAATTATATATACTTTTTATAAATTCATACTTTTAGAAACATATTATGTACTATATAGACTTGTATTGGGCCAAACTAAAAAATTCAAATTCAAATTCAAATTTTCAAAGTCACTTAATTTTACTCTTCACAATCTATCCATTTACTCCGTAACTCTAACTCTTTCCATTTTGCTTTTTTAATAGAACTAATTTGAAAAGGCAACATTGTTTGTTTTACTCGAATACAAGAATCACCATGATTTGTATTTGCTAAACTATTTATAAAACTAATGTGTTGAAGTCTAGAATTTGAAGCATGTCCCAACCTCGTGTGCCAGATCTCCATGTCTACTTTGACAACTGTAACGTCCCAAATTTCGAGTCCAAAAATTTCATTTTAATTAACTGATTATAAAAGCATTCATAAGAAAAATCACATAAAATATATTATTCTGTAAATCAATATATCATGTTTGAAAACCTAAGTCATAAAATAGCATCATGTCAGAGTACAATCCCAGAATATCTCAAGTGCGGAAAATCAATGCGAGTGTGTATGATGTGCTGCTACCGCGCCATCTCCTTCCCCTTCGCTGAAGAGGTACCTGAAACCAAAACTATAAACTATAAGCACGAAGCTTAGTGAGTTCCTCCATCGTACCACATACCATACAATCATATATCATACATACTGCCGAGCAATTCTGGGGTGCCCGACCTACCCGGTACGACCATTCTGGGGTGCCGACCTACCCGTGTCAAGCCATTCTGAGGTGCTGACCTACCCGTGTCGAGCCATTATGGGGTGCTGACCTACCCTTCGGTCCTCACAACCGAACCTTTGGGACTATTCCACCCCTACTGCTACTATCACATATATCATACATAAACATACTATCAGACATATCTGGGGTGTCCGAACTACCCTTCGGTCCTAACAATCGAACTTGGGGGACTATCCCCCCTACTACCGCTATCACATATATCATATCTTGCCAGCATATAAACATATCATCACATACTGTCATACATATCTGGGGTGCCTGACCTACCCTTCGGTCCTAACATCCGAACTCTACTACTATCACATATAACATATCATTCTAGCATATAACATATCAGGTAGTAGCAAACCTGGATGATATCACAAAGACAATCATCCAACATACAACCCCTAC